ATTTAAAGTAAAATATTAATAAATATTAATATTAAAAATAAAAATCTAAGTAAAGCATACTTCAACTATTAATTCACTACTATTTATTCCTGAAACTTAACTTCTAATACCATACCATTTTCTGAACAAACAAAAGGCTTCTCTCCTGTATGAAGACGCTGATGTGTTTTGAGCTGTCCACTTTGAACAAAGGCCTTTCCACAGTCTGGATAGTCGCACAGATAAGGTCTCTCACCTAAGGAAATAGACATTTATTATACCTGAGATAGTAAAGCAAGACAAAGGAGTAGGAGGAAAATCACTTTTATGAGTCATAGCTCTACTGAAAAATAAAGCATATTAATTACAGCCTATAAACAGAGCCAACTGTCCATAACTCCAGTTCCAGGGGATCCGACAGCCTCTTCTGTCTTCTGCAAGCATTGCATGACATGGGTGCACTTACCTACATGCAGGCATTACACTTATACACAAACCTTTAAAAAAAAAAAAGAAAAGAAAAACTTGGACATGGCAGCTAACAACCTTCTGTAACTTCAGTTCCAGGGGATCCAACGCCTTCATCTGACCTCCACAGGCATTGCACAGTACAGGTGCATCACATACATGCAGGCAATACACTCATACACATAAAAAAATAAAATATTTTTAAAAAAATAAGATAAAATATTTTTTTAAAAAGTCTTCCCCTCTCATTCCAATCTTCTTAATCATGTAGGCTTTCAGTGAACCTCCTACTTCCCACTACTTGAATTTTTCAACCCCTCGTGAACTTTGTGTCTTGTGTTACTTATGTATCATAGAAGTCTCCTTCTGCAGAGATTCATCTTACCTTCTGCCTCATTTAAATTCCTACAGACAGCAAACATAGTGCTAGGCTCAGACAAGGTGCTCAAAAAAAAATGTCATTCAACCATAATTAAACATATTATTTATTACAAAAGGCAATCTTTAACAATTACATATTATATATATATATATGCATGCATACATACTATAGGGACACTAAAACAGTAAATACATTTTTACAAAGAATGTGTTATTGGAGCTTAACTATTTCTCTACCAACTGAGCACACAGTAACTGTTTCTTAAAACTTCACAAATACTGACAATATAAGGAAATGTAAGGCAACTAAGAAATTAATTAACCCAAGCATCAAATCAACTTTTATTCGAGTATTACTTCTAGCAATTTCTACCATTTTTTCATCTTACCTGTATGAGTCCTTTTGTGGGCCTGGAGTGATTTCTCCCTTGGAAACACCCTATTACAGATGTTGCAGCGGATCCTGCTGGAGGAATGCTCTCCTTCATTTATTAAATCCCGGACAGTGTCTGCTCTAGGTCTGCCACGTCGGATTCCATCCTGTTAACATTATTTTTACAAATGACTATATTAGCTCTTGGACTCATTAAGGCAACATTATTATGAAAGATAAAACAATTTGATTAAGCATAAGCAAAAATGGTGGAATTAGTGGCTCCAATAGAACATTCCTCCACAGATCACTGAAAAATCATGGAAAAACTACAAAAATCTGCTGTCACCAACCCAGAAAGACTTGCAGCAACTCGGCCAGCATTGCGTCAGGGAACAAACACCTTGCAGGATTTTTACTTACCCATTCTTTCCCTTCCCTATACCAAGTTTCAAAGCAACAGCCTGAATTCTTAGTGTTAGAACCTAGTCCCCACCTGACTTGCAGAGCTAGCAGACCAGACCTTCTCTGAAAGAACTGTCTGCTGTGCTCTGCATTGCAGGTACCTGATGGACAGAACTGTCTTTGCTCTGCCTAACTTGGAGGCTCTCAGGGTGTAAAACAGGCTACTACTCAGCGGGAATCACTCACAAACTCAGAAGACAGCCTGCTCTTCTCTGGGCAAAAGACTCATTTCAGCTCAGGCAAAGAGACTCAGGAAAAGCCTGGGAGGAAAAGGCTGGGAGAAAGTTTCTTTGGAAAGGTAGGATACTGAAAAGTACAGAAAGCAGAAGGTATGCCCAGAGCAGAAAATGTGTTCGGGGAAACCGGAACTGAGTCAGAAGTTGTCCCAAGGCTGATCTACAGGCTTAACACAAATAAATGTAGGGGCTCTGTTAGCAAAGTGTACCCCTCACTGGGGGTGCAGCTTAATGTCAGGGCACTTGCCTAGCATGCTGGAGGCCCTGAGCTTGAGCTCAGACCTCTGCACTGGGAGGGGAGACATCATCAGACAGAGATAGACAGAGCTACACAGGAGTGCAGTTTTTATAGGCTACTGACACCAAGATAATATGATGCAAATAGATTATTATAAATTTAAGTGAGTAGCAAGGTATAGTAGCAAGGTATAGTAACACCCACCTTTAATCCTAGCAGCCAGGAGGCAAAGGCAGGCAGATCTCTGTAAGTTCAAGGACAGTCTGGTCTACACAGTGAGTTCAGGCCAGCCAGGGCTGCATAGCGAGACACTGCTCCCCACCCCACCCCCTAAAAAATCAGGGTAATTACTAAGAGGTTAAAAAATAAGAAAAAAAATAAGATATTACACTAGAAATCGGCTAAACATACAAGGAGGCATTAATGAAGAAATTGAGAAACAAGTAGAATACATAGGAAAAAGAGTACTTCTTGACTTTAAAAATGAAAGAAAAAAAGATTACAAATGCATACAACTCCCTAACATATAGGATACAAAAACTGGCAGAATTAATGGGAGAAATAATTCAAAATGATCCAATGGTACAAAAGGCAATTAAGCAAAAGGTCCACAAAGAAATGCAGACAGACAGGCCTTGGTCCCAAACCAGGTCTCGATAAAGTTTAAGACTCAAAGTGTCTGAATTTTCTTCCCTGACCATACAGAAACAAACTGTAACTGTAAGACAGCAACCCAAGGAAAGCAAGAAGACACATGGGAGAGAATTAAACACTGAAAGAGACACAAATGAAAATACACCAAAAATTAGGTGATATAGTCAGGGATTTGAAGATTTCAATAAAATAGTAATACCCAAAGCAAGCTTCCAGGTTCAGTGCAGTGTCCACTGGGCCTCTAGGGGCCTGTTTTGCAGAACTGGAAAGTATCATCCTGCAAGTGGTAGGGAATAGAGTTTCAAGGAGTCACTGCTTAAAGGATACAGGAATATTTGAGATGAAAAATTCTCAAAGTTGCACAACACTGCATTATACTAAATGTCATTGACGAGTACACTTCAACGTTATATAATTCTACCTTAATTGAAAAACAAACAAGAAGCTTGGAATACATGCTATAATCCCAACACTCAGGAGCTGAGGCAGGAGGATTAGTGAAGGGGGAAAAAAAACCCAAAGCAAAAAACCAAGACAACTTGAATAGATAATATATGGACTTTAATGGCAATATTAACAAATCACCACAGTAATAGACCAGCAATGGGAAACTGGATGCTATTCATGGGCACTCTGTACTATCGTCTCTATATCCAAAATAAGCATATATTTGAAAAGAAAATCTCTCTTTATTTCCCAGGAAAGTTAGCTGTCACTTACACAAGTTACAACAATGCTTCAAGCATCACCCACAGCTACAGCCAAAATGGAGATGTTTGATGGTTTTTTTTTTAGTGCTTTCAATATAAAAACTTGGAGCCTTCCAAAAACTGAAACCTTAACAAAGCTTGAAGGATAATAAGTTATAACCAAAGTACCTTAAATCAGATTTTCACTTTGAGAAAAAAGCTTACTCCCTACATTCTAGAATAAATCTATTTAAAAGTCTATTTCCTGTGCAAGTTAAAGACTTCATTTTGATCTTCTGTCATGGGATTTCTTTGTTTTGTTTAGTTTGAGACAGGGTCTCCCTATAGCCCCAGTTGGCCTGGAACTCACAAAGATTCACATGCCTCTGCCTCTTGAGTGCTGGGACTAAAGGTATGCACCAACACCCCAGGCCCTGTAATGGAATTTTAAATTTGTTACTATTTACTATTTTTATTCTTAAAGTCAACAGTTTCAAAAAGCTTAATGAATGATGGGTGTGGTGGTAGGAGCCTTAAATCCCAGCCCTCAAGAGGCAGAGGCAGGCAGATCTCTGTGAGATTATAGCCAGCATGGTACACATAAAGACTTCCTGGCAGGCTAGGAAGACGCTGTTCCCCTCCCCCAAATAAAAACTTATTAAGTCCTTCCTTATTTTCATTTACTGTTTTAATAGGTAACATATTAAATAAGAATATCTAAGCTTATTAGGAATTGGAGAAGCATGTTTGTGTTGACAATAGCTCTACATTAGCTCTACAGTTAACTCTTTTAATTAAGAATTGAAGCCGGGTATGGTGGCACAAGCCTTTAATCCCAGCATTCAGGAAGCAGAGGTAGGCACATCTCTGTCTACTTGGTCTACTAGGGAGTTCCAGGCTAGCTGGGGCTACAGGGAGACCCTGTCTCAAAAGAATAAAAACAAAGAGAACACTAGCTGGTCTTGCAGAGGATGAAGGTTCAGTTCCCAGCACCTACATGGTGGCTCACAACCATCTGTAACTCCAGTTCCAGGGGATCAATCAGCCTCTTCTAGCCTCTGCGGGTATTGCACATACATGGTACACTTAAATACATGCACTCACAAAACTCTTACATGTAAAATAAAAATAATTTTTTTAATGTGAGGCTACATATTCAAAAGCACTAGTAATGAGACCTTAAAAGAGATATTTGCACACCTATGTACCAAATGGTACACACTGTGCCATCACTGACCATAGTCAAGAGGTGACAGCTCTCAAACATCCACTGACAGATAGATGGATGATTAGGTGTAGCATGTGCATACAGCAAGACTATTACTCAGTCTTTAAAAGAATGGGAGTTGGGGCTGAAGAAATGGTTCATTGGCTAAGAGTGCTTCCTCTTGCAGTGGACCTGAAAGTGGCTCCCAGCACCCACATCAGGCAGCTCATAACCCCCTGTAACTCCAGTTCAAGGGGATCCAAAGCCCTGTTCTGGCCTCCAAGGGCACCTGTACACACGTGGCATACACTCACACAGACACATACATTTCTAAAATAAAAAATAAGTAAATAAATTAGCTAGTCACAAAAAGAACAAGTATTGCGTATTTTCACCTGTATGAGGGGCCTGAAGTAGTCAACCTTTTAGAAACAATGCATGAAAACAAAATAGTGTTTTCCAGGCATTGAGGAGCGGAAGAAAAGGTAAGTTCAATGGGGATCAAGTTTCATTTGTGTAAGATGAATAAATAAGTTGACAATACACCTAAAAATGGTTAAGTGGCCAGGCATGGTGGCTGGTGCACACCTTTAATCCCAGCACTCAGGAGGCAGAGGCACCTGAATCTCTGTGAGTTCAAGGCCAGCATGGTCTATATGGCAAGTTCCAGGTCAGCCAGGGCTACCTAATAAGACCCTGTCTCTAAATAAATAGATAAAATAAAATGGTTAAGTGGTAACTACTTTTATAAAATGGGAATGAAAATAGCATGTGATTTCTGAGGAAAATCTTTAAAATCATACTTGGTTCCACCTTATTTCTCTTCTCTCTGCCTTAAGATCCACTGCCCCAGGTAGGGGACATTTCTTCTGGGACCATCGTAGGATGTGTAACATGAGCCATATTGAGGACAGGGAGTTTGAAGTTGCATACTAAGCAAATCAGACATGTTATTAATAAAGCTTCACTGCACCAGAAGGCAGAGAGAGAAACATTCCAGAGGTCTTTTTCAATCTAACTCAAGAAATTTACATTTATAATGAGGCTAGGCATTAGCAAGGACCTTAATGTATTAAGGTCCAATTCAGCAAATCAGCTTGTGGCAATTACTAGTGACTATCAAATCCATTCACCATCTTTACTCTAGCTATAACCCTGCACTAGCCATATTTAGGTCTATTCTTGCTAAAAATCACTAGCCCAGGTCAGCATGGAGGGATCTAAGGCAGAATAAAATCAGAGAATCTATTGTCATCATTTATTGAGCCACAATAATTAGATAAATTATTGCTGATTATGGTCATGTTCAAGAGTCATTAAATCCTAGTTTAAGCACAAAATAGGGGCCAAAAGTATAACTTGGTGGTACTTACCTAGCATGAATGAGACCCTGGGTTCAATCTCTAGCACCACAAATAAGTAAAAAAGAAAATCCAACACCTGTGATCAAATAAATATAGGTGATTTTTCCTAGGAAATAGGATATGAAATCTGGTTAATTAAAAACTTGAGTGGGGGCCAGGCATGGTTACACGTGCCTTTAGTCCCAGCACTCCGGAGGCAGAGGCAGGCAGATCTCTGTGAGTTTGAGGCCATCCTGGTCTACATAGTGAGTTCCAGGCCAGCTGGGACTACAAGGAGATCAAAAAGATCAGTAAATAAATAAAAATAAAAACTTGAGTGGGGGCCAGCAATATGGCTAAGGGGCTAAAGGTACTTGTCACCAAGCCTGATGAGCTCAATCCCTGGGACTCACATAGTAGGAGAGAATGGCTCTTACAAGTTGTTCTCCAACCTCTACACACATGCCATGCCGTATGTATACACACACACACACACACACACACACACACACACACACAAATATAATTTTTAAATTAAAGAAAAAACTTGGGACTGGAGAGATAGCTCAGTGGTTAAGAGCACTGACTGCTCTTGCAGAGGACCCTGGTTTGATTCCCAGCACCCACATGGCGGCTACGAACCATCCTTAGCTCCAGTTCCAGGGGAATCCAAAGCCCTTTTGACCTCCTTGGCATTGCACAACACGGGTGCACTTATATACATGCAGGCAATGCACTCATACACATAAATAAAAATAAAATAAATAATTAATTAAAGAAAAAACTTGAGTGGTGTAAGTTCTTCACCATAAAAGGATCCTTTTCCCTATTTCTAAATACACAAAAATGCATACTTTTGACCCTCCTATAAAATGAAAATAACTGAATTGTTAAAAATTAAAATTAGGGGCTAGAGAGATGGCTCAGGTTACAAACACTGGTTGTTCTTACAGAAGACCCGGGTTCAAATCCCAGCACCCACATGGCAGCTAACAACTGTCCATAACACCAGTTCCAGGGGA